GATTTGATCTGATTGGATTTGATATGATTTAATTTGATTAGATGTGATCTGATCAATTTCGATCTGATTGGATCTGATTTGATTAATTATGATTTGATTTAAAATTCAAATCAATAATTTAATTTGACTTTATAATTCATATTATAATATAATTAATATTTTTTATTTTATGATTATTTTTTAATAAAATAAAATTAGTTAATTCATATATTAGAATAGTCATTCATATTATAATGTAATAATATTTTTTATTTTATGATTATTTTTTGTGAAATAAGAATATTGATTTAATATTTTAATAATTAGTTCATATATACATTAGAATAAATATTTAATTTATATATACATTAAAAGTAATTAAATTTAGATAATCAATATAGAGAAGAGATAGTATTTTTATTAAAATATCTCATTCTTATAAAAGATCAAAACTTTAGAAACTCAAATTACAGGTAACAATAAAAATGTATTTTAAAAGTAGAATTAGATTGACATTGTCAATGTATTTTAAAATTAATTTTTCTGACGTCTAATAATTAAGGATTACTTTCTCAGTTTTCTATTTAACTTATTTCTAAAGTTTATTCTTTTTCATTTTAAGAATAAGAATAATAATAATAGTAATATTTCTTGATTGGATCTCATCTGATTGGATCTGATCTGATTTGATTTTAATAAAAATAAGAAAATATAAGAAAAAATAAGCTGAGCGGAACAGGGCCTAAATTAGCGTCTATCTTGGATGGTTATTATTATGGTGTCGTTTCCGATTAATTTTAGCATTTAGTTTAAATATTTTAAAAATAATATGAAGAAAATATTAAAGTGAGAACATTTTTGTATTGAATTATGTTGAAACATCTAACCTTCTTTATCTATGATGATGTTAAAGTAAACAAAGAAATTTCTGTTTTACTAAAATAAAAATTAAGCAAACTAGGAAAAATACTAGATCGAATTTTTCATTCTTCTAATATCTCATGCCAACACCCCTCAAGTTGAAGAAAGGGGTTTCGAATTCCCAACTTGGATAAGACATAATCAAACTATATTTGTTCAAGTGTCATCTGAACACTTCAACAAATAAATTTTCTTCTTCTTCGACGAAGACACTACCGTTTTTGAATCCGCTGAATAACCAATCGAGTAAAGGAAACCATTATTTTTCAAACTTTCATCAAATTCAAACGAACAGGACAAACACTATTCTTTACAAACATCCTGAACACCAATTTGTTTTTTTAAATTTCACCTTGAAGATTTGTCCTCATTCAGCATAACTGTTAGGTGTATTTATGTATTGCGATTAGGTTCAGGACACCCGTATAATTGGTCCGTAGTTGTGCACTACTATAGATCCAAAAGGAGCAACACCCAAACCCAACATCGTCACACTCCACTCATTGAGAAACATAGAAGAATAGAGATGAACACACAGAAGAAGACAACTCACACAAAGGAGAGCTCACAAATAGGAGAAGAGGCTCTCTTATTTTTGCACGGTGAAACACAAGCACGCACCATCACTATATATAGTAGATATCAGGGAGGTAATTAAGGCAAGCTTAATTAGGTTAAAAATATAGAATGAGCTTGAGTAACGGTCTGTTCTTTAGGGCTTGAACTCTTAACTTCCAGTCCTTCCAGTTCCTTCCAGTTTCTTCCAGTTCCTTCCAATTTCTTCTAGTTTCTTCCAACTGTTCTCATTTTCTTCAAATTCTTTCTACTCCTCAACCAATTACTCTAAAATGATATATTTTAATGTGATTATTATTATTATTATTATTATTACAACTGTTATATTCATAACTATAGTTTATAAATTGTTTTTTTCATCTCACTATTTTTACGATTCACACTTATTATTATTATTATTTTTTCATCTTTTTAATATGAATAAGACATTTTTTTGTATATTAGTCTACATGATAAAACAGGAAAACATCAATATGTTAAATTATACCAAAAAATTATGGACAAAATAGTTACATTGAATGTTTTATTAATATAACTTTTTATAAGACATCTCACTTTTCCCTTTATTACTTAAAAATTGCTCATTTTTCTAATTTTTATAAAAAAAAATTGTAAGTTAAAAGAGCTTAGAGAAAAAGACTAAAATATGAGTAAAACATAAAAAATGTAAACAAAAAAGTTCTATGTCTTTATTTTTCTAGGAATCCAATGAAAATAAAATATCAATCATGAAAGAAACAATAGATTTGATTATGTGACATGTATGATATTTAAAACAAAATGTTTTAATATATAAATTATAATTACAAATATATTATTTATAATAAATACTTCGTAAATAAATTGAGGTGCAATATAACTACAAAGACTTCTTAAAATTTAATATTTTTATATTTATGCTAACTTTATATTATAATTATTTTTTGCAAAAGTAGTTTTTTGTATTTAAAAAATAAAAATACTTTTTTTATATCTTAAAGACATTGACTAAGATAACATGATGATGATTATGATGATGATGATGATGATGATAATAATAATAACAACAACAACAACAACAACAACAACAACAATAATAATAATTTATAACAACAAGAATTTAAAATAAATATTTTTAAAGTTTTTTTTAGGTTTTTTAATTTTTTGAAGTTTTTCCAGTTTCTTCTAGTTCATTCGAGTTTTTTCCAGTTTCTTCCAGTTTTTTCAGTTTCTTCCAGTTTCTTTCAGTTCCTTCCAGATTTTTTCCAGTTTCTTCCAGTTCCTTCCAATATCCAGCTCTTTTTTACAGTCCTAAAGAACAGGCCCTAAGTGTGTTGCTGGATTGGGTGTCAAAAATATTATTAATATGTTTAGGTGAATCTCATATAAATTAACAATCTCCACCTTTGGGCCAAAGTAGTGCACATAATTGACAAGAAACCGTGGAACTCGTCATAGACAAATAACCACTAAATATGTAATCAACAAATGAGAACACACTAGTGGTGGAGAGTTCACAGAGTACTCAAATGAGAACTACATTTTTATCAAGCAAGCATATTTCAGACAAAAGATTTTTAAGCCAAATATCTTAATTCTTTAAAATCGTCTGTGGCAGCAACATACTCAGCTTCAGTAGTAGACAAAACAACAATGTGTTGAAGTTGAGACTTCCAACTAATGCAAGAACCACACAAAGTGAACACATAGGAATGAGTGGATTTTCTATTATCCCCATCGTTCGCATAGTTAGAATCCACATAGCCAATTAATTTAACACTTTTATCATTTCTTGAAAAAGCTAAACTAACATTTCTAGTAGATTTATCAAGTATCTCAAAATCTATTTTAAATCATTCTAATGAGCCATACCAGGACTAGACATGTATCTACTTAAACTGCTAACAACATAAGTAATATCGTGCCTAGTGCTAATCATAAGATACATCATAGAACCAATAGCATTCAAATAAGGCACACTTTTAATTTCATTAATTTCCGATTTTGTTTTAGGGCACATATCCTTACTCAACACGGGTTCTAGAAAAGTGGGGGTCATGGGGCTGCAAGGGTATTCTGGACATTTCTCTCTTAAAGTCAACACTCAATAAAAATGACTAAAAGTCAAAACGAGAAGTTCTTTCCCGGACGGAGGGAGTGTTTATTTATTTGTTTGTTTTATTATTAAAATATCTTTTTATTTATTTGTTCTATTTTAACATCGATTTTGTGCATAACTTTTTATGTATAAGTTCAATTTTGGCAAATGATATGTCATTGGAAACGTTTTCGCGAGATCTGCCCAAGGACGCAAAATCGTATACAAACATTGATTTGGCAAACAGTTTATATTTTTGTGTCAAAATAAATAAATATACTATATTTAATTTTTTTTTCAAAATACAACTAACTACTAAGTCAGTTTTCAGGGCGTTACACTTCTGTTTTAACATTTCTCAACAATTACATACATTGTGAGTCATATTCTCTTTTGAGTTGTGTCATTTATGTTTTGATCTATTTGAACATAGGGCTGATGCCCCATTCATTTATTATATTTTGATATTTGGGATCCAACCTTCATCCCTATTAGTAGTTTTTGTTATTCTATTTCATTTATTGGTGATTTTAACAAATTTACATGGACATATCCGCTTAAACACAATTCTAAAGCTCATTATGTTTTTGTTAGTTTTGGAAAAGATGGTTAGACCCCTACTCAATTTTAGCATTTAGATTTTTCAAAATAATAATGGAAAAGACTTTGTCACTATTTTGTTTCTTCTTTCTTTAATACTTAAGAATCTTTCATCACATCTTGTGCCCTGATACCCATGAGCAGAATGGCGCGGATGAGCCCAAACACCACTATCTTATTGAAATAGTTATTGCATTTCACTGTGACTCTCAAATGCATGTGCCTTTCTAAAAGCTCTTGCCACCACTAAGTATCTCATCAATATTCTACCCACAAAAAATCTTTCCAACAAATCTCCCTCTGAAGTCTTCTACAATTGCCCTCCTGACGGTGTTTAGTTGTGTCCTTATGGCTATCTCATGTACCTGTTGCTTCGATTTCACGCCAAACACAAACTTCAATCTCGCTCTACGCCTTGTGTCTTTCTTGGTTATAACTATCACCCTACTATCAAAGATTATAAGTGTTATGATTGAGTTTTCCTAATTTAAATAAAAGATTTAATTATCTTTTGAAACTTCTTAACTCCTAGCTTTACCTTATGCAAGAGCGAGACTCAGCTAATCATGGACAGGATTCCGATTCAAACTAGTACTAAAATCTGAATTGACAATTTTAAACTTGATTGAAATTAGAACAATTAAAGAACGAGAACTGGTAAGAGCTACTGAGAAGTATTCCGATTCCAATTCTCAATTTTAGGTACCAGACCAATCAAAACTGGTACCGATTATGTTTATTTATTGCTAATTTTTAATTTTTTTGAGGTTGATTTACGAATTAAAAAAATGTATGAAATCAAATAAGTAACATTTTTACCAAAACAAAATATCTTGGAGAAGAATTAATTCCCATTTTTCTTTCTTAGGCTGACCGGGTACCAATGGAAGGGTTCTACTGTTCCCTGGCTGCCTTCCCGCCGGTGTAAAACCCTTTGCCGGCGACGTTCGCCGCTTTCTTCATCTCTATCCATATCTAATTTCCCGTCAGAGGCAACACAGTCTACGCTCCTCCACCGCCGTTCATGTCAAGAGTTTCGAGAATGAAATCGCTCCTTCTGAATGCGACACTTCCCAAGCCCGCACCTCTCTCCACCCGTTTCCCGCAATCCATTGTTCCCCGGAGGAGAAGCTGCTTTCGTCTTTCCAGGCAATTCCGTAGCCCTAGCTTCTTCGTTCCTACAGTGAGCCCCTGGAATGTGGTCTCTCCGCTAGGGATTTCTGCTGCTTCGGAATGGAAGGGGGTTCGGAGCTTCCTAAATGAGGGTTCGCTCCCAGAATCCGGGGAGATTCATGTGATTCTGGGGCCAATGTTTGCTGGCAAAACCACCACTCTTCTGCAAAGAATCAAAGCCGAGAGTGTTAATGGCAGGTTTGCAGAATTCATGCTTTGTGTATTGTTTCTTTGTACACCCCAGCTGAAATTCTTAGTCTGTTCTACATTGTAGACTGTACTGAGGAAATCTCTAATCAATTTTTAGGTTACTGCTTTGGTTTAAAATCTGATATTCATTGTGGTCATTGCTTCGTAGTGTGTCACTGTGTCATTTCATTTTGCTTATTATCAGATAATGTTTTTATGCAACACGAATTATATGATATGTCGATTTCAAGCATCTGTAATATTCAAATGAACATTCTTTATAGGGGATATGAGCTGAATAAAATTAATATGAACTCGAAAATGAAAGAGTAACGGATCATTTCTAGATAAAAAATGAGCAATCGCCAAAAAGTGACAAAAATGCCACTGGATGAATGTCCATCCGGTTGTAAGATAAAAAACTTCTTTTTACTATTATGGGTTTAATGCTGCTGGTATTAAGTCTCTATGCCCTGCAATTGGGAAGGAATAAATTTGTATAATGCATCTGGAATGAACAATTTGTATGAACATTTGTTTGTATATATGAAGTTCACTCATTTTCTTTAGAGTCTGTTTTGAACTTGGCAAGTTCTAGGGGAAAAAAATAGAGAGGAACATCTTGGGGAAATTTGGAAAGGAAGAAGTAAGGGAAACATAAAAATTTGGTTCAAACTCAATAAATTTATTATTCGTATATGTTCAAACTTATTTTGTTTAAGTTATTTTAATCTTATAAAAACTAAGATATGTAAATCTCTTTAAAATTTTATAACATTATTCATATTCCATTTTCCTTTGCATTTTGCGAGGTAGCATTTCTTTTTCTTTAGCATTTTATGGGATCCAAAAACACCACTAGGAGTATTTGGTAGATTGTATCATTGTAATGACATGAAGTATAATCAAATGTGTTTTACTGTAAATTTTGTAGTTACACTTCTAGTTGATTACTTACTAAACTACACCTAATATGATTTCTATTTTAGCTTGACGCATATTGTAAAAGACATAGGAAGAATTAAACGTTTTCGTGTTTCTTTAAAGCAGAAACGTAGCGATAATAAAGTCAGAGAAGGATAATAGATACGGATTGGACTGTATTGTGACACATGATGGAGAAAGAATGCCATGCTGGCCTTTGTCAAATCTGTCGTCATTCAAACAGACAATTGGTTCTGGAGCATATGATAAGGCAATGACCATGTAAATGCTGTTTATTTTTATTTTACCCTTGTTTATTTTTTGTCCACAAAAAACTCCTCAAACTTAACAAGGTATTGTAAATTGCTTTATTTGTGTATATTTCTGTCTTTCCCTGCTAACACACCATGACAAGATTCCTTTTTCTTCTTTTTCCATTGCTACTATGCACATTATTTTAGTTGGAGGTGATTGGCATTGATGAGGCACAATTTTTTAAGGATCTATACCAGTTTTGCAGTGAAGCTGCCGATCATGATGGAAAAACTGTAATTGTTTCTGGTTTGGATGGCGACTACCTAAGGTACAACATTGACTCAGGGTGTGTTTGGATTTAGGTATTCTAAAAAATTTCTTTTCCCAAAACTTCCCTTTTGTGTCTTAACTTAATTTGTTTTTGTGGTTTTGACAGAAGGAGCTTCGGTTCGGTGCTTGATATAATCCCTATTGCAGATACTGTAACCAAATTAACTGCTCAATGCGAAGTTTGTGGGGATCGTGCACACTTTACGCTTAGAAAGACTGAGGAGAACAAGACAGAACTGATAGCCGGGGCGGATGTCTATATGCCTGTCTGTCGTAAGCACTTTGTGAGTGGCCAAGTGCTGAAAGAAGCCACTAGAGATATCATTGAAGCTCAGGTGTGTGTCCATGGCTGACCCATTTAGGCGACAGCTAGTTTAGGGTATAATCGTGAACTCATTTCTATGAAACTTTTAGGCTTGGCCATGTTAGTTATATGATCACCTAACTTCGTAGGGGTCAGGTATGCTTACACACATCCTCCCTACTTCTGTGGGATTCTACTGGATCTGTTTGTTGTAGATTTTATAATGCAATACAACCGTTTGATCTTTCATGTGTTTAGAAAAAATGGCATTGAAAGCATTTTCAAACGAGTTGAGCTTCGCTGCTTGTCTCAGTTGTAGTTGCCTGATATTATTGTCTAACAAGCAGCTATGTTGGGGGTAGATAAATGCTTGTTGGATTCTTGGATCATGAGCGTCCGATTTTTGGCCGGACGATTGTGATGGTGACAAGCAGTTGATGAGTCACTGATATGCATGAAAAGATATATTATATGAGTGCATTTTTTACACAGATAACAAATGGATAAATGTTTTTTTATGAGAAGATAGTCAGCAGTAGCTTATTCGTAAGATGCCACTCTTACGAGACACTTATACGCCCTCTGTCTGATATCTGTCTTGTTATTTTTACTTGACATATTTTTTTTATGTGAGAAAAAATATTTGACTTTTCATTTTTGTCCTTGGTGGACGGTGGTGTAGTAAATCAAAGAGAGATGTAAAATGGTGAATAGTGCAAAAGGGTAAAATGGTCTTTTAGCTGTAAAAAAGGTGAATAGTCTTCCTATTCAAGAAAAGGAAAAGAAAGATATTAGACTGACTAAAAAGGAAAACGGGAAGAAAGATATAGTATGAAGGGAGTATTTCAATCTCTTATCTCAGTTATTAAAACGTACTACTTCGTAATAAATTTTTGCCAAGTACTCCTGTCCTTAAAATATATTCCCACTTTTCTTTTCCTTCCGTCCAAAAATCACCAACTAATTTCTTCTTTGCAATATGTGCTTCACAGATTTTCCTAGTCTTCTAAGTTCTAATAAACTTAACACAACTTATATCTTTCCAACTTATGTGTCCGATCAAACCGGGCAATAATAACAAAGGGAAGTTTTACGCTGTACCAAAGATACATTAAAATACAATAACATAATGCTTTTGCTGCAATAAAAACCAAACTTCTCTCTGTCCATCTTCATAGACAAAAATACAAAGGTACATATGTAGGTTCTCTTCTGAACCATGGGATCAATTCTATACATTGTTGTCCTCCAGTCGTTTGATCATATTAATCACATGTCTTCCAATCACATTACCCGAAAGAGCCGATTTTTTTGTCATGATAACCATGACAAGAGACTCGTAAAGTTTCCTATTATCTTGCTGCAGATACACAAGAACTTTGGTCCTTAAAACTCTTTGGGGAAGTTGATGAGTACTCCCTCTGTCCCTAAAAGAAGTTCTTGTTTGATTATGCAGAGGAGAGAAATAATGTGAATCATTCATTTCTTTTCCTCAATGGGACTAGAACTTCTTTTTGGGACAGCTGAAAAACGAATGCATTATTGATAAAGAAAAGGAGAATAGCAGTGGTTTGGTTACCTTTGTAACCTCTAAAGCTTTCTGGACAACATAGTTTCCGAACTTATCTGATGCAAGGTGAAGGAGTGCCTTTTCCCTCCGCAGGAGAGTTCTAACAACAGATTCCATTCCAAACTCTGATGATTTCATGCAGTTCTCCACTACATGGCTGCCGCCCATTCTCTGAGCCAAGTGCATGTAATGTCTTTCCAGACGAATGCATATGGCCCGCGAGATATTTTCCTCTTTCAAGGTAAGTACATGCTGAACCACGTAGTGCCTGGTCGAAGAAATTAACCAAGAAGAAAAACCAGCTCACAAATTTGAAGGTAATTTTAATTATCAACCAGTTTAGTTACTGAGTATATATATTTATATATGTATGCATGTATGTATGTACCCCCAAGGATCATGTGACAGGAATTCTGAATGCTCTACAATTTGCTCAAGAAGTTTTGTTTGGTGTGTCCTGCTCATGCAATCGAGGCAAATGTTTAGGGATATGCATCCATATCGGCAAGTGGCTAGTTCTATGAGGTAGTACACTAGAGCATCGTACAGCACCTGCAATCCGATCATGTGAGTGTCATTCTCACCATACTAATAGCTTAGAATTGTTTAAAATTCTTTACTTGGTGCTAGTCTTGTGCTTGTGTGATGCCTAACTTGCCTAATAGGGCACACCTATTTCACCCAAAGAGTTATTGATCGGACACCTATCTACCAGTTGCTTTAGGGCTTGTTCTCTTCACCGGATCTGATTGATTCCGATCTGATCTGAACTGGTTCCAATAAGAATAAGTTGAAGAGAACAAGCTCTTAGGGGCACTGTAGAAGGGCATAATTTGGTCATTGTATAATTGTCTGCAAAACTTGGCAGTGTCTGTGGTATGACTGTAGCATGACCCTATTGGCAAAACAGATTAGTTTGTTTATAACAAAAAGTTATGTACCCGATTCTCGTTAGGCTTGAAGGTCTTCAAGCATTGTTGCACAACATATTGGCCTTGTGCGCTAGTCATTAGTTCAAGAAACCTCTGGGAAAGAATATGCGTAATGGTTTTGCCAAAACCCAACCTTCTCAGTTTCTTGATCAGGTTCTGAATTGCAGTAGAACTGTCAAATACAGAAACCATGTTTATGATAAGTAGGAATGTAAGATACCCGGAACGTGTCAGTGAACCGAAGAACATACCCGTACTTCTGAAGAGATATCTCTACAAACAGGTGGTCGTGTGAACACAATGTGAAGACGATGGTTTGAACTTCTCTCGACTCGCAATCTTCCAGAAGCTTCCGGAAGAGATGGTGTGCGAATTCATTAGTCATGACCTCAAAGAGGTTGCCAAGAATACCCTTAAAAATCTGTTGCCTGAGAACATGATTTCCCTCATCCAGAAACCTCTGCAACACCATGGAACCTTCCATAGTTTTAGCAGCCTCCACAACTGTGTTTCTTGGACTTGTGTAACCATAACCATTGTGTGATGCCCCACAAGACATATCCCATGAAGAATACAATCCCTCATGACTGTTCCATGAGTCATAGTCTATGCAATAATCGTTGTTAACTTCTGTCCGTGTTTGACCCGACACGTTTCTTTTAAAAAAAATATGCTGCAATTTTGGTGAGTCGTGTTTTTTGAAATTTTGGCAATTTTAGTTCTTTTTATACATTACAAAATCTTGTTTTTTTTTGTCTAAAAAGCGCACGTGTCACCTTCATACTAATACTTTAAGTGATTTACACAAGTAATACCAAGTCAAATTAGACACATTTCGATTATCAATTAAGTAGAGCAAACTCGATTGCATTCCGTAAATTAGTACAAAAATACTTTCATTATATTTATCCTGTTGAAAACTTTAGACAAAATTATTTCATTGTAGTGTATTAAGTAACTGACCTTTAAAACTTTTGAGAGACTGATATATTAAGGAATCAAATCAACCAACCATAGGCAATGACTCCAAAACTGCAACAAAAAATTCTATGAACTGCGCATGCATGCAATTACGTACCTAATGTTGGAGCTGCAGGGGGATTGTTCCGAGCCCAAATATTGGGAGAATAAAAGTTGTTATCATTATTATTATTAGTCTCATAATTGCCCCAATTTGTTGTCGAATGCGCGGCAGAACTAGAACCGGAACCGGAGTGGTGTTCGTTGAGATTCATGCTTGCGAGTGAACGAAGAGCTTCTTCTTCTTCTTCTTCTTCTTTGTCGTAGAGCTGGTTATTAGGGTTAGCAGGGTTTAAGGTTGCCATTGATCTTGATAAATCACCCACCCACCCTAGGAAAAAAACAAAAGCTAGAATTCAATAGGAAGAAGCTTTGGCTTTTAGTTGAAGTTTATATATGTGTGTGTGTGTGTCTATATATATATATATATATATATATATATATATATATATTATTGTTAGCAAGGTTAAAGACATACTCTTTCTATTCATATTTAGCTGACCTTTAAAAAACTTTAGAGATTTATAAAAAATTGAAAGAATATTGACCAGTTAAATGTAAATTTAGGAAGTATTCCTTAAGAAAATAAAAAAAATATATTAGTAATATACTTTTGTATTATAATGGCAAGTTAAATATGAATGTAAGAAGTATTCTTTTAAAAAAACACTACCGGGTAATATAGTTTTGAATCCGAACCGCATTGGGTTGAATCACATGGTCCTTGTTGACTTAGGAATCTGAAACCCGGGCCGAGCTTTCTAATTGCATTAATTGCGTCCTATTCCTCCTGAAACAGTGCTTATCTAGTGCACATTAGATGCATATTATTTTTGTGGATTTGTTTACATAAAAAAATATTTTTTTTATTTTTTATTTAAAAAATGCTTATTTAAACAATAAAAAATGCTTATTTAGCATATATGCAGGTTCATGATAGACCTTAGGTTAATCATAGAACTTGTCCTTATCGAATTACTTTTATTTGAATACGGAGTATTCCATAGGTATTTGTAAAACTCAAAAAATTAAGTGTTTGACACTTTAATTTTAAAATCTATGTGTTTTTTAGGCTCGATTCCGGATGCCTGATCTGATTGAATCTGATATGAATTTTTGAAGTTCTGATCTGATTTGATTGAGTCTGATCTGATTGGATATAATTTGATTTGATCTGATTGGGTTTGATCTGATTGGATGTGATTTTCTCTAATTAGGTCTGGTGTAAATGAATTTAGATTTGATTTAAATTAAACTTAAAATTATTACAAAATTTAATAGTTTTAAAGTATTACAATTCATATATACATAAAAAAAAGTAAAATAATAAAATCAGCTAATCATTGATATGTTTAAACTTTTTCTTTTTTAAAATATTAAACATCTTTTCAATATCACATCTTTTTTAATTTTTGTGAAAACTAAATAATCAATATTAAAATAACCAAATATTAGAAAATATTGATGCTATTCTACAAAAATATCACATTCTATATACATATTACATAATAATATATTTCATGTTACAAACTAAAGATCATATCAAATTTTAAACACTAATATCCCTTTCACCTCCATCAATTTCTTCATAAACTCACCCTTGTGTATATTATATCATCTTAAAGTTTAAAAGTAAGTCTTTTTAAGTGTAAAATATTTATAGTTTTGAAAACTAAGTTTTGTATAATTATTTTATGGGGAAGGTTCCCAATGTCATGGGAACCAAGGTGTTATTTTATAAACAAGCATTCTAAAACAACTCTTTTTAAAGTATTAAAAATAAAACTGTTTAAGCTTTAACATTGCTTCCATGCATCATTTCTATCCTACAAGCTAAACAATTACGGAGTATTAAAAATAATGGTTTGTAGTTGAAATATAATAATAACAACAACAACAACAACAACAATAATATAACAACAATAATATTTAAATTTATAATATTAATTAAGATTTAGGTGTGTGTAGTTTTAAATAAAGTAATGTCATTTAATCAAATAATAGTAATTATTATTTAATCCTTGAAAAATATAAATATTACTACCTCCGTCCCACAAAAAGTTCCCATTTTGACAATAATTTGGTCAACCTATAGCACACTTTGACCTTAAATTAAATATAATCTAAATAAAGAAATGCTAAAAAAATTTGAGATATCAAAACTAGATACTAAGATAAATCCAATATAAAATTTATTTCATAATTCAATATACTTTTCTCACAATTTGTAGTCAAAGCGTGTAAATATTTGACTAAATACTATTCAAAATGGGAACTTTTTTGTGGGACGGAGGGAGTATCTTTTATATTTTTTTGATTTGATATTATTGGATTTGATCTGGTCTGATCTAATTGGATCTGATATGATCTGATTGGATCTGATTGAGTCTGATCTGATTGACTCTGATATGATTTGATTGGATCTGATCTGATTAGGCATGGTCTGATCTGATCTGGTTTTAATAAGAATAAGTAATACGGAGTAAGTAGAAAAAATAAATCATACAGAATGGATCCTTAGTAGGATTTTAATAAATTATTATGAATTCTATAAAAGTTTAGAATTATTCAATCCAGACTTTTAAAAATGAATAGAAATATAGGCGTTCACAATACATAGAACTAAAGAACTCATTCATATATTTAAAGAAATTATTCATATTTTTAAATGAATCATTAGTATTTGCTTCATTATTTTATTATCCCTAATCACATGATTTTGAACAATTGATTTCGGTCTTCCTACCGATTTGTCTAAGGATTTGTTCTTTTTCGGTTGGAATATGGTGAATGTTTGAAGAAAATGGAATGAGTTAGAAGAAACTGGAAGATGCTATAATAAGACTACTTTTTTTTGTAGGAGAAATAAAGTTGTATGTTGGAAAAAATGGAAGGAGTTAGAAAAAATTACGAGGAGTTAAAGAAACTAGAAAGAGTTCGAAACATTTTGAAAAAGTTAAAATACTCCCTCCGTCCGGGAATAAGCTTCCTACTTTGACTTTTCCTCATTTTTAGTGGAGGCTTGAATAAGGTATGAAATGCCTAAATTACCCTCCCCTTCCTTTCCCAGCAGCCCTGCCACAGAACCCACCACAGCCTCCACCGTAGCCCCTCCCCTCCTCGCCGCCAGCCCAGCCATTGTCGTCAGCTCCACCATCGATCCATTCTCCGACCATCTCCACCATCCCCCTCCACCATAATCGCTCCACTCTCACCATCACCGACATAGCCCTACCATTAGATCTCAAAGAAATAAAGAATTATGAGAAAGAAATTAGAAAGAGATTAGAAGAAGATTGCAGATCTAGGCTTACCACGGACGCATCCTCACCATCGCCGCCCCCTACCATCGGCGCCACCATCTCCGCTAACACCATCGTCGTCGCCACCATTGTTGCCGCCACCATCGCTGCCAAACTCGGATCTAGAAGAGAGATGAGAGAAATAAGAGGAGATAAAGAAGGGAAAAGATGAAGGGGAAAAGTGAAGAAGAGGAGATGACGAAGGAAGAGAAAGGAGGAGAAAGAAGAAGAAGAAAAAAGAAAAGAAAATTGAGTGGAGGAGAGGAGAGAAGAATGAGATGACGGAGGAAGAGGGGAGGAGAAAGAAAGGAACGAAAAAAGAAAAAAGTGGGAGAGAGGAGAGAGTGAGAGACGGCAGTAGAAAAAGAAAAGAGGGGGTAATTTAGGAAAAAGTGGTATAAAATAGTAGAATGAGAAGATTATTTTCGGACGAAAAAAAAGGTAGAGTAGGAAGTTTATTTCCGGACGGAGGGAGTAACTATTACCGATTATATTTTATAAATTTCATATGTTATTTAAAAATTTTATACTCAACTTTCTATAAGTTTTAGTCTCTTTTTATTTCCTTCTATGTCATTACTATGTATAATTTATCCCAAATCGTATTTGTAATTTTTTTGTGATTCACACTTTTTTTACCTTTTAAAATCAATATCAATCAGATCATATAATTTTTCGTTTCTTCAATTGCATGTCACTAATTCATGTAACAAAAATAAAAAGACAAATGAAGTCATACTTTGTATTAATCTTAGTTGATAGAAAAAATGCTCTTAAATAATAAGAGAGAATTACCAAAATAAGACTAAAACATTGAATATATACCAAAATAGCACTTCCATGTTTTTATTCTCGAAATAAGACTTACATTACCAAATATGGTCATGTACATTACCAAAAAAGTATAGTAATGTGCACATGTGCACTGTCACATTATCATGGTGCAAAGTCCTATTTTGGTAAAAAAATATAAAAGTCTTATTTTGATACTTTTCTCTATGTTTTAGTCTTATTTAGGGTGATTTCTATAAATAATATAATGATGTGTCGACCTTGTAGGACCTCGGGCGCTCCTAAGGCCTTGTTTGGGAAGAATGTTTTTAATTAATGCTATCGTTTTGGATAAAATATTAACGGTGTAGATTAATTCAAAAAATGCTAACGCTAAAGGCTTCCGTAAGATAGCATTTTCAAAACACTAACGCTAATGCCAAACGGAGCTTAACTCTTCTAAAACTAATTGGTGCTAGAAGAAGCGCATGCTCTAGCCTTATAGTGCATTCAACACACACAAGCACCCACGATATTTAAATGTGACTTGACCCACATAGCTTCCGCCACGGGATAATTGATGCACACATGACTAACAATACTCCCACTTAAAATTGAACTCGTGACCTTGGCTCCGATACCACTTGTAGAACTCTAGGCGCTACAAACTCTTTTATAACTAATTTGTGTTAGAAGTATATTGGATATCGTAGTCTTATAGTGCATTTAGCACACGCAAGCGCTTATGATATTCGAATGTGACTGATCTTACGTAGCTTCCGCCACAGGATAATTAACGCACACACGATCAACAGACCAAATAAATAAACCTACATCACAATAAAAGGCGCCAAATCATTCCCTTAAAACTTTAAGTATTTCATTCTTTGTATGTCTCAAATATATTTTTTATTTTTTGAATCTTTTTTATTTTATAAAAGTCTATTAGAAAATTTTTACTCTGAATCTACATCCCGCATATGCACATTCAATAAATAAACAATATGGAGTATTTGTTGGACAATGTGCTATCATGCAGATATATTTTTGCAATGTCCTTTGCCCATTGTATTTTAGGTTTTGATAATGACAAAAGAGTGACAAAATATCATCATCATTTTGTGCATCAAGGCTAAGAATCAAAGCTACAACAAGTTCATATCCGTCCGTGAAGAAGGGACTTGAGCATCGGTGGAAGGAACGAGACCGAAGAGGTTGTTTCCTTAGTTGGGTAGTGTTTTAGGTCTTAGATTATGTGTTAAAGAGTATGACATCTCTAAGGTTCATTCCCTTATCATCTTACCTTTAAAACTCATTTTAGAGCAGCCTTTGTGTGGGGAAGTTGCCTTTCTATTCGAATAATCTTTAGTTTATTTGAATAAGTCGTGATATTTCCTGTTGCTGAAATCAACCTGATTTATTCGAATAAATCACCACTTATTCGAATAAGTCCTGGCTTTTCACCCTGATTTATTCGAATAAATGGTTATTTATTCGAATAGGAACTGGTTTTTTCAAGCCACGCGATTGATCCAAACTATTCGAATAGTTCTTGAGTTATTCGAATAAGTCGACAGTTTCAACTACCAAACGGCTAGTTTTTTGAATCCTTTTCATCCCTATCCACTCCCCAACTTCTATAAACTATCTACTTTCGAGATTATCTTTAGTAGACCACTAAGAACACTTTGAAGAACATATCCTTTGAATATCCAAAGAGATTCTACTCAATCCCCTCCTTATATCCAAGCAAGGCAATTGTTTTGATTGCTAAATCATTTCTTGCTTGAGTTTTTCCTCATTGCTTGAGTCTTTGAGAGATATTGCCATATTCTAAAGGACTTCATTGTATTTGCAACAATCTACTCCGTGTTGGGAGAATTACTCGGTTGCGGTTTGTTTTCTTACTTTATTGTAAGGGATTTGTATTCTTGGTGTTGGGATTACACCAAGTGGTAGAAATCCTAACGGTTTGTGAAATCAAACGTTAGGTGGAAGAAATCTTGAGTTTTGTGAAATCAAAACTTCGGTGGTAAGATAAGAGGCTTGTGAAATCAAGTTCTCGAGTTGTATTCGGATTGTCAAACTCCGTTAAGTTTGACGGGTTAGTGAAGGCCTGGGCACGATTGCTTCGGGGACTGGATGTAGGCATTTAGGCCGAACCAATATATATCGTGTGTGCATTGCTCTTATCCTTCACTTTATTTTGTTTGTGGTGCATTGTTTTTGTTGAATATTCGTGAAGAACGTTTCCGCGCAAAAAAAACCGGTCTTTTGGGCAACACCTCTATTCACCCCCCTCTAGAGGTGTGCGAGGCGTCTAACAGTATTAATTTTAAACCATTATTTCTTCGCTTATTAAATATCTTGAATTCGGAAGATGTCAATGTGGGAATTTGACATCTCCTTCAACAGTCGATCATCCCCTCACCGAGCGGCTAGCTACCACTGCAACGACTGCCACTGCCAACCACTCCTATTGTCGGCGACTCTTGCCAATCACTATTTAAATCATGATTTTAAATCTTTATAAACAACTTTGTTTTAGATTTTGAAATGCATTTGCTTCCTCCCAAATTTCAAAATCTATATCATATCTTCAGAATTTACCAAACAGGTTCTTAATGGTCTAATTTCACACAAAATTTACAAAAAAAAAAGTTAAAAAATAAAAACCTGTTGTTAAAATTTGTTAGTCTAAAGAAAAATTTTAAGAGTATGGATTGTAAAATCCAACAATTCAGCAGCTATGCACTTGTCATGGATTCCGTCTATATGCAATTGCTTTCTTTCTTTCTTTCTTTATAATGGGGGCGAGACGAGAGTGTTAAAACTTAAAAGTTTTATTTTTGTTTCCCGCACCGTATTTATGACCCCATTTTTCTCTTCTTCATGAAGAAACCGCTTGTATTTGGTGATCAAAATGGTATGTGGTCCTTGCTAGCAGGGCCTGCCCGAAAAATGAAAAAATAAAATTTGCCCGGTCCGAAATTTAAATTTTGGATCATTTTTTTATTTTTGAATACTTATGTTTCAAAATTAATAATGACTTTAAAAATATGGGGCCCTAAAATTTTAGGGGTCATGTGCGATTGACCATTTTGCATACCCTTCGGAGCACCCATGCTTGCGAGATCAGGAGCGGAGATGCATCGTGCATTTTCGAAATTTTAAATAAATTTCTAAAATTCAGTATGCATCTCCGCCTCCTGACTCCTGAGTACGAAAGTACTTCAAATCATAATTACTTTTTGTCTCTTTAAATTCAAAGTGTTACTTGCATTAAGTACTCAAGACATGGTATAATGGTTGGTAAACCAACTCAAATTGTACACCAAATGGAGAAGAAGAAACTAACCAACAGTATTCACTCAATTTTGGGGGCTTGGTTGAGGGGGCTGGGGTGGGAGGGGGAAGGGGTGGTGGTGGTTATAAGAGGTTAAGAGACCGGGAACCGTTTTAGAGTCGAACCGAGTTTCGTATGGTGCTTAAATTGGCTGGTGTCATTTCAATTGGACTCTATAAATTAAGTATTATTATTAGAGTAAATTTTCAAAAAGGTCATTCGTAATAATTTATTTTTAAATTGAGTCCTCAATAAGTCCTAATTATCTTTGGAGGGAGTATATTTAGGTTCAGGTTAGGATATAGTACTCCCTTTGTCTCTTAGTATTTGTCTACTTTTAAATTTTTTCGGTCAAAATTAGTAAACTTTGACATTAAATTAAATAAAAATGATATTAGAATATTGATATAAAAATAGTTTCATTAGATTTTTATATATAATATTTTTTTAAATATTATTTTATCCAATTAATATATACTTCGTAATATATATTTTATTTAATTATAGGTCAAACATTGAAAACAATTGACCAAAAAAGTCAAAACTAAACAAATACTCAAGAACGGATGTAGTAGTTTTGATATAATTGGGAGGGGTTCAAATGACATTGAACCCCATGTCATACAATGACTCACACTCAAGATGGAGCAACAACAACAACAACCCAGTTGAATCCCACTACAGTAGGGTCTAAAGAGGGTGTGTGTACGCAGACTTTGCCCCTACTCGGAAATAGGGAGGCTGTTTCTAAGAGACCCACAGCTCCAACTGCACAAAAAATATGATAAGAATCACAATATAACACAGATAAAGCACCAAGTACAATGGAATGAAAGTCTTGCAAGCAATAGCAAAAATTTTCAACCAAACAAAACACACTACAAAAAACCCCTGAAACACCTATCCAGCTACTCTAGTCCTAGTTCTCCAAAAGTTCCTATCTAAAGCCATATCCTCAGTCAAGGTGAGAAGTCCTAAATCCTGCCTAATCACCTCCTTCCAATTCTTCCTAGGTCTACCCCTTCCCCTAC